GCCAGAGGGGCCACATAGTAGAATGGCACACCTGAGGAGGGGTCTGAGCAGATGACACACCAGTGAATCTGAGGGGCCAAGTACTTGCTAAAAAACTTTGACAGGAGCTAGTCAGAGTGCCCTGGGAAAGAAGTGTGTTTTTCCCCACCTAGAGCGAAGAGGAAGTATCCCTTCCCCCACACACAGAACAGCTCTGGGCTGTAAATCAGCACCCCAGTGGCTTTGTGTCACTAGGGATTCAGACATCTGGCTGGGAGGGAGCCTGGGCAGAAGCCCACCCAGCGAGAGCCAGCCTTGCTGAAAAATTAAAGAGCCAAGAAGGGTGTAGGTTTTTTTTTTTACCTCTCTCTCTCTCCTTTTTTTCTATCTTCCCCTGCTTGAGGTGGCAAACAGGTGTGTCAGCAACCCAGGTAGAGCTAAGAAATTGGAAGGAGAGGAAGAGACTGCCTGCCCCTCCCATAAGCTACAGGCACCACCTCAACGCAAATCTATTTAAACCTCCCTGACTGGACCTCATACCCCACAGAGCCCAGTGCCATGGGGGAAGGAAAAGTAGCCCAGAACACATACATTCAAGTGGCAAACCCCCAAGCCAACCTAGCCTCTGGCCTAGGGAAGCCCAGCCCACAAGACTACCTGGGATCCTGTTCTGCAGGGCTTCAACAAGGAGGCCCAGGCTCAGGTAGGGACAGTGATTCTTGTTGCCCTGTACCAGAGAACTGCCCAAGAGGACAGGGACCCACACAGCAAGGGGCAAGACCCAACAACATTGCAACATTGGAGCAAAATCCAGTGAGCTCCATAAATAGCAGCAGATGCAAGATTTTGTTGTTGTACTGGTGGTAGTTGTTTTGATATATGTGTGTGTTTTCATATGTTTTATTGATTTGGGGGCGGGGGAGAGACAGAAACATCCATGTGAGAAAGAAACATTGATTGGCTACCTCCTGCATGCACCCCACCAGGGATTGAGTCCACAATCCAGGCATGTGCCCTGACTGGGAATCAAACCCAGACCTCTCAGTCCATGGGACAATGTTCAATCCACTGAGCCACAATGGCTAGGCTATGTTGTTTTTTAAATTTTTTTTTTTAATCCTCATCCAAGGACATTTTTCCATTTTTTGTACAGACAGAGTGGGAGGGAGAGAGAGGAAGAGAGAGAGAAAGAGAAACATCGACGTGAAGGGACACATCGAGTGGCTGCCACCCGCACGACCAACCAGGGCCGGGGACAAACTGCAACCGAGGTACATGCCCTTAGCGGGAACCGAACCCGGGTCTCTCCGGACTGCAGGCGGACGCTCTAACCGCTGAGCCAAACCGGCCAGGGCTTAAATTTTTTTTAATTCAGTTTTTTTCTCTTTTTCTTTTTCGATTTTTTATTTTCCTGTTCTGTATTTTATTCAATTTATTACTTTCTAAAGCATTATTACTTTCTAAAATTATTATTTTAGTCATTATTTTCTACTTTTTATTTACTTATTTTTATTATAATTATTTTCAACCCTGTCCGTTTATTGCAGGGGGAAATCAGAGGATATGGAGCAGAGCAGGACAGACCCTCACCTCTCCCTGGGCACCTATGGAAGTGGGAGTCAGGATTCAGTGACATGAAGTGGGGCTGAGGAGGCCAGAGACTGGAACAAGAGATGAGAAAAGGCAGCAGGAAACCAGGGAGGGAGTAGGGTGGTGGAGACAGTGAGGCAGGAACATCAGGATGACAAGTCAGAAAATCTGCACAGAAGTCTACCCCTCATTTTCATTGCTGCAAGTCCAGTCTGGACTGGTTCTTAGAGACAGGCACAGGGTGGAAGATGCAGCCAGAACTAAGTGGAGGTGTCAGATGACCAGACCAGAGCGGCCTGGGAGGATGGGGGTGATGGAACACTCAGTTGGGAAAGGGATGAGGGAAACACTGCCTTTTCCAGGTCAGCCTGGGCAGAATCTGCACTTGGGATTATTTTCTAGGAGGAATGAAAGCACTGGGCACACTGGGTTTCTGAAGAGGAAATGAAACCAACGCCATATAGCCATGAAGTACAAAGGAGAGGTCTGAGAAAGCACAGACCAGAGAAAGTGGGTGTAATAAGAGGACAGTGCAGGATGCTGGATATGGGGAGAGATACTGGAACAGATTGGAATCTGGGAAGGGTAAGGAGTCAGGACCCAGCCCGGGAGAGAACCCAAAGTCCCAAATTGTTGAGGAATAAATATATGTAGTATAGGTTGGCAATGGACAAGCCCAGGTTCAAGGGCAAGACAGCCAGGGGGTCCAAGCCTTCAGGCTCCTTCCCAGCATGGAAGCTGGGGAGGGGCAGTGAGTGGTTCAGGGCCTGTTAGAACCGTTGGATCTGGGACTGGAGCAGGGGCAGGCCCAGAGCCCCATCAGAGGTCTCAGGCTGGGAGTTCTGGAGCTGAGGGCTGGGCCAGGAGTTGCAGTCATCGTACTGGCAGCATTGGGCCTGGTACCAGTACCCTGAAAAGTAGATGTTGTATTTTTCTTGGCAGCAGTAAGAATTGTACTGTCCACAGCCTCAGATGAAGAACCAAATCTTGATATCTGGAGGAGAGGAGAGCTAATAACTTGGTACCCCTACCACAAAATCTCCCCATCCCTCACCAGACCCAACTTCTATCCAAGACTCCTTCAGAAGGGGTTAGAGAATTAGCCTACCTGATCCTCCCCACCCAGGACTCCTGTCCCTGCCTCCCAGGATCCTCTTATCTCCTTCTTGTGCCCCAGGCCCCAAGCAGCACTCATCTATGAGAAGAGAGGAGACTGAGCAATGGGCTACCCCATCAGCAGTCTCTTCCTGGGTCTTGAACCCACCATACTAGATAGTGACCACCATGCATGGGGATGAGCTACTGATGGTTCACTTCTCCAAGCTTGAAATGCATCCTATAGAAGGGTTTTCTAAGAGGCAGAAATGACAGGTCCTTAGGAAGTGACAGGAGCTTAGGAAGAAAGCAGAAGGGACAGGAGCATGTTTCCTAGTGCTAAGCCCACCATGACCAGCACGCCTACAAGCATATGGGCTTTCATCATGGAATTCTGGGGAGAAGGGAAGTCCCTGAAAGGTGTCTACATTTTATTTTCTTACACATACCCTATTTCTGGTCTCTGCTTTCTTTGCTCTCATTTTTTCCTCCCTCTCCTAACTCTTTTGGTCGCATGCCTTCTAGTATTCTTTGTGTGTGTGTGTGTGTGTGTGTGTGTGTGTGTGTGTTTTCAGTTTGTTTTTTAATATTTTGTTGATGTGGTTGCTTTCATTATTATTGATGCTAATGTTTTCAGGGGAGTTCATTTTTGTATAGTCTGGTTTTGTTTAGTTCTGTCAACATCTATATAACAGTTGGCATGACAGGATCAGAATCGAGACTAACAATCAACAACCTGGAGTACTGAGCCTGCCCACAAATGGACAACAGCAATCAAGACCCAAATACAGCAGGAGAGCCCACATAACCCACAAAAGGGTCATCCCTAGAGCACCCAGCTCCAAAAATCTAGGAGACTACTCCACTGGATCCCATAAGAAGGCCACACCACCAAGACTTGGAGGCATAGAAGTCTTTTTTTAAAAAAAAAAAAACAAAAAAACCTTTTATTTTGAAAAAATTATGACTTGTATTTTTAAGATCTTCTGAGGTGAACTATTCTAATACAGCTTTTTAGATATTTTTCCCCACTTACAAGAGAAAGCATTTGGCTTAAATAGTCTCAAAATGTCTTCTGGCTCTAACATTTCACAATTCCAACTCCTCTCGTATACCTCTAATATAAATGTGAGAGTAACTATTTGTCTCGGCTCACTGATATAATAAATAAGATTCTATAATTTATTAAATAAGTGAATTGTAATGGCTTTTGTCTCATCCTATTATGTTAATAGGAGATAAGGACAATATTAGAACATAAACAAACACTTATTAGAAAGCTGGTGTCAAGTACTGGGGCCAGGCTTTCTACATACAGTGAAATTAATGCATTGATACGAGCACATTATGAAGCAAGCAGTCTCTTTACAGGAGGACCTGAGGCCCAGAGAGGTTTACTGATCTGTCCAGGATCACACAGCTCATAAGTTAAAGACAGTCTTGGTCCTAGGTCTGAATTCAAAGTGCCTGCTCTTTCTGTATGTGCTCTTTCCTACAAAAGTCTACAAAGAGCTCTCCAGTAGCCAATTGTATTAACCTTTTCTCAAACAAAAATATCTTTAGCCAGAACTACTGAAAAGGAGGGAAAGTAAAGTAGTTTATGGCCAGTCTTCTGTCCTTCTTAAGTTATGTATGTCTAAAATACAACAAGATAAATTTGTGTGCCACAGGGTGGTGGAGAAAATAAAGAAACTTAATAATCTGCCATTGACTATATGACAACACTGCTTGTGGACACTTTATTCACTTTAAAATAAATATTGAGCTGTAAAACTGACTGCCCCAAACTAAAATCTGTAGCACACAGTAGGCAAGTACAAAGGATAGCCAGCACAGTACGTTGTTAGAGTAAATCATCCTAAGTCAAGAGAGAAGAATCACTGACTGTGTACACCAGGAACATACTTTGAGGAAAACACACTCATATCAAGGAGAGTAAAGTAGATAAATGTTCTGAGAGAGGGGCAACCTATTACAAACAAGACCTTCTTGGTGAAGAACATAGGTGAAGAAAACTTGTGAGGCTCTGCTTTATACCCAGTTTTTAGTTCAATACCTGGTAGAGAGCAGCTGCAAAATAAAAATTTGTTGAATTTCGGTCACTAGAAAACAATTTTACATGGTCTTCCATTTAAACAACCTCCTATCAATTTCTTTCTTCATTCTCTTTACTTTATTAACTAGCTATATATCCTATACTTTACATAATAAATCTATTATTTAAAAACTTTGAATAGGTACAACAATTATGGCATTTCATTAGGTTGGGCTCTAAACGGCTTGGATGAGACTTACTTTGGAATCACATTATCCAAGCAAAGAAAAATACAACCAGTTGATTAGACACAATAAAAATAAAAAATGTGAGACAAATGCCTGCCTTAGAAGTTTATCAACAACCTCTTCTATACACATATATATTCACAAAGTGGTTGGGAGTCCTTTTATATGATCCTTTAGATGAGGTCCAATGGCTGAGAACTCTATAATGAGACACATGGTCAGAAATCATTAAGACTTTCAATGATATTTTCTTTCCCTGAACTTTATTATTCTTTAGTTGGGGAGAGAAAGAAGTCCATTTTCATTTGTGGTATCTAAGATTTTACAGATCACTGGAGATTCAACCCCAAGGATATACTGACACGAGTGAGGCTCTAGCATATATACAGTAACAGCATGAGGAGAATCTGATTCTTTACACTTCAGTTTTACGGTCACCTGTCTTGGTATGTCAGTTATATCATAGACATCTCCATTCCCGTAAAAATGTGACACCATCCTGACTGTCTGGGTGCCATTGTCTTGAAGGTGATAGGCTCTGGCAGTGTTCTTCTTAGCCCACTCAATATGCTCGTCTTGGTTCCATGTCCTGACAACCACAGCAGTTTTCCCACTATCCTTGTCCTCATGGTATTGATGTACATGTTTGCCATAGCAGAATTTGTATTTCCACCAACCAACACCCCCATGAAAGCAGTAAGAACCACTAAGGAACTCTTTTATGAGTTGGTCATCTGTCAATTTGGAAATGTGGGTTGTTCCAACAGTGAGCATCGGCTGAGAACCAATAGTAATGGGTTTATGGACTGCTGGGAATCTCTCTTCTTTAGTTGATGGCAAATCTTCCTCTTTATTTCTCCTAAAAGGCACCCTTAGAATTTCTTCCTGCTGTTCCAACTGTCTCAGGGTGAGGGGTTTAAACGGCGATCCTGGCAGTGACTGGCAAAAGATGTCATTCACTGGAGATGCTCTGAATCTATATTTAGGATGATTGCACAAGAGTGGTGTCAAAATGACAACTTCATATTCACAAGTTGTAACTTCAGCTACTGACAGAATTTCATGCTTAGATTCAGGATGACATATGTACATCACAGTACTTGATCTGGGCCGGTTCTGTTTCAAACTACAAGGTGTACCATTTCCCATTCCCACAGGATAGTAGGGTGTCATCTGACCTTTGATATTTTTAGTGGAATCTCTTTTGATTTTTCCTTTTCTTCTGCTTTGTGTTCTTTTTCAGACAGAAGGGTCTTAGCCAACATATTTCCAAGGTAGTACTTGTGAATATTTACTTTCTGACCACTTTCTTTCTCTTCATGGTACTGCCGAATATGTTTTCCATGACATACTTCATAAGTCCAATAAGACTCAATTCTGTAGGAACAACTGCTTTGTTTAAATAGTGGCTCCAATAAATCCCTTGGATTAGGGCCTTTATAATCCTTTTCTTCTTCCTCATCCCCACCTATCACAAGAGGAAGAATGCATTTATATTTTTCTTTATGTGTAGTTGTCATGATGACATAATTATCTTCTTTACACAAAACTCCAGTTGTAGGCAGAGAGAACTCAGTGCCGGGCCAGTTGACTACGAAAAGGATGTCATTGCTGAGTTGGGGGAGCGCTCGGCTGCTGGACGCCTCTAGGAGGCCACAGAGGACCAGTTACACCGGTCCACCTGGGACCAGACTCTGCACGCCGTGGCCTCCTTCCTCCATCCTCTGACACTGATTCCTCCAGCCGCCGACACAGCCTCCTCCACCGCAGAGGAGAGGAGGGGGAGGAAGAGGAGGAGGCGGCGGGACTACTAAGATGCCCAGGCAGCCCGGGGCCTACGAGGCATAGAAGTCTTACCTGCCTATGCATCACAGTGCACCTCACCTGACCCTGAACTACCAGACTGGTAAATGGCAAGACAAAGAAACAACCCCCAAATAAAAGAAAAGGAGGACACGCTAGAAAAAGAACTTAATTTAATGGAGGCAAGCAGTTTGTCAAATAAAGAATTCAAAGCAATAGTTTTAAAGGTCCTCAAGCAACTAAGTGAAAATCACAAGCAACTTAATGAGAATTATAAAGAACTCGGGGGGGGAATGAAAATGGCTGCGGAGTGAATGGAAGCTACACAGACCATCTCCCAGGACCAAACTGGAATTACAATGAAAATAAAGACAAATCGACAGGAAAAGGCAACCAAAAAGCAGCTTGGAGGACCACATAAGCAGGGACACTGACTCAATCCTGGGAGGCTTGCGAAGATGTGAGAGGGGGCCAGGAGCCCCCGGTCTGCAACGGCTTGGGCTGGGAGCTGCGGCCTGGGCTGGGAGCTGCGGCCTGGGCTGGGAGCTGTGGTGGCCTCAGCTGGGAGCTGCAGCGGCCTCAGCTGGGAGCTGTGGTGGCCTTGGCTGGGAGATGTGGTGGCCTTGGCTGGGACCTGAGACTTCGGCTGAGAGCTGTGCCCTCAGCTGGGAGTTGCACCCTCGGCTGGGTGCTGCGGCGGCATCAGCCAGGAGCAACGGCCTTAGCTGGGAGTGGCGCCCATGGGTTACACTCCGAAGTGGCTCCATAGCGCAGACCCAAGACAGAGGCTAAAATAGCAGCAGCCACTCAACTTGGGTTCTGGCAGAGGGAGGGCAGATTGGACTGGAACCGTGTGGGGACACTCGGGATTTGGAGGGTGCTCAGAGCTTTTGCTAAGTGCAGCCATGCAGCACTGTGGTCATCTTACTCATTCCCAGGGCCCTGGGGAGAGGCGGCAGCCTCTCCCTCAGAGATTCAACCCCACCTGGTGGCCATTAAAATGCTAAGTGAGGCCCATTAACAACCAGCATCTGCCAAACCCTCCGGAAATCCTCTTACACTGAGCTACTGAGGGAGTTTTCATTCCACTCTGAAACTAAGGTTCTTCAGGTAACTGCTACAAATAGCCTCCAGGCAAAAAACTAGTAAATAACTACCATTCCTTGGGCAAACAACTCTAACGAAGAAATTAAGACCTGATAGTGGTGATTAACTTGGGTCCTCTCTGCCTCATCCAAACCCAGGAGAGGGAGCCACAAACAACAGAACACCAACACCCACTAGGAAAATTTGGCATGCTCAAAAGCCCACCATAATAGCCAAAATGGTGAAACAGAGAAATGAAAGCTAAAAGAAAGAACAAGAGACCTTTACAGAAGATGAGATAAATGAGGTGCAGTTAAGCAAGTTAGCAGAACTAGAATTCAGAGCCATGATCCTGAGGAATCTCAACAGCATGTGTAAGAAAATGAGCACCATGAGTAAAGATATAAAATATTGAAAATCAACCAGTTGGAATTCAGAAACCACCAAGAAAAAATAAAGAATGACATATCAGAAATGAAAAACACATTGGAAAGTCCAAATAGCAGAGTAGAGGAAGCTGAGGACCGGATCAGTGAATTAGAAGACAGGGTAGAAAAAGTCAACCAACCAAAAAACCAAAAGGAAAAAATGATTAAAAACCAGGAAAACATCTTAAGAGAATGTAGGACAACTGGAACTGTAATAACATTCACATCATAGAAGTCCCTGAAGAAGAAGAAAATGAGCAAGGGTTAGAGAATATATTCAAAGAAATAGTGACAGAAAATGTTCCTAATTTGGTGAAGGAAGAAGGCATTCAAGTTCAAGAAGTACAGAGAGCTTTAAGAAAGAAGAACCCAAACAAGCCAACACCAAGACACATAGTAATCAAAATGCCACAAATTAAAGACAAAGAGAGAATCCTAAAAGCAGCAAGAGAAAAGCAACAGGTTAACTACAAAGGAAACCCCATAAGGCTCTGAGCTGACTTCTCAACAGAAACACTACAGGCCAGAAGGGAATGGCATGAAGTAATCAAGGTCACGAAAAACAAGGATCTGAATCCAAGACTACTCTACCGAGCAAGGCTATCATTCAAAATAGAAGGTCAAATAAAGAGCTTCCCAGACAAAAAAAAAAAAGGCTAAGGGAATACATTAGCAACAAACAAACACTGCAAGAAATGTTAAAAGGACAGCTGTAATCAGCAGGAGAAATGGGAAGAAAACTAGAACCACACTAAACAAAAATGGCAATAAATACGTACATATCAATAATCACCTTAAATGTAAATAAATTGAATGTTCCCATATAAACAAAAAACAGAGTAGCTGATTGGATAAGAAAGCATGACTCATCTATATGTTGTTTACAAGAGACCCACCTCAAAACAAAAGACTCACATAGATTGAAAGTGAAGGAATGGAAAAAAATCTTCCAAGCAAACGGAAAGGGAAAAAAAAAGCTGGGATAGCAATATTCATATCTGATAAAATAGACTGCAAATTGAAGGCCATAAATAGAGACAAAGGCCACTACATAATATTGAAAGGATCTATCCAACAGGAAGATATAACCTATATAACATATAGGCACTCAATATAGGAGCACCAAAATATATTAAAAATCTTCTGGAGGACGTCAAAGGAGAAATCGATAGCAATACAATCATAGCAGGGGACTTCAACACCCTGCTGACATCACTGGATAGATCCTCTAGAAAAAATTAGCAAGGAAACATAGATTCTAAATGAAGCACTAGACCAAATGGATTTAATAGATATCTACACAGAATTACACCCCAAAATAACAGAATTCACATTCTTCTCAAGTGCCCGTGGGACATTCTAAAGATAGACCACATGTTAGGGCACAAACTAAATCTCTACAAGTTCAATAAGACTGAAATTATATCAAGCATCTTCTCAAATCACAATGCCATGAAACTAGAAATCAATTCCAACAAGAACATGCAAAGACATTACAACACATGGAAGCTAAATAGCATGTTATTAAATAACGAATGGGTCACGGAGGAGATCAAGGAAGAAATCAAAAACTTCCTGAAAACCAATGAAAAATCTATGGAATGCAGCGAAATCAGTTCTGAGAGGGAAGTTCATAGCACTACAGGCCTACCTCAAAAAACAAGAAAAATCTCTAATAGACTATCTAACCCCACAACTTAAAGAACTAGAGAGCAAACAAAAAGCAAACCCCAGAGCAAGTAGAAGGAAGGAAATAGTAAAGATCAGAGCAGAAATAAATGACATAGAGACCAAAAAAACAATTCAAAGGATCAATGAAACAAACAGCTGGATTTTCGAAAAGATAAACAAGATTGATGGACCCTTAGCTAGACTCACCAAGAAAGGACGAGAGAGAACCCAAATACACAAAATCAGAAATGAAAGAGGAGAAGTAACAACTGACACCACAGAAATACAAAAGATCGTTAACAACTACTATGAACAATTATATGGCAACAAATTCGACAATCTAAGCAAAATGGACAAATTTCTAGAAACGCATAGTCTCCCAAAACTGGACCAGGAAGAGATAGAAAACTTGAACAGACCAATATCAACAGAAGAAATTGAAGATGTAATCAAGACTCTTCCAGCAAAAAAAGCCCAGACCCAGATGGCTTCACAGGGGAGTTTTACCGAACATTCAAAGAAGAACTAACACCCATTCTCCTCAAACTATTTCAAAAAATTCAAGAAGAAGGAAGACTTCCAAACTCGTTTCATGAAGCCAGCATCATTCTAATTCCAAAACTAGAAAAAGACACAACAAAGAAAGAAAACTACAGGCCAATATCCCTGGTGAACATAGACGCCAAAATCCTGAACAAAATACTAGCAAATTGGCTCCAGCAATACACCAAAAAAATTATCCACCATGACCAAGTGGGATTCATCCCAGGGATGCAAGGCTGGTACAATATTCGCAAATCAATAAATGTGATACACCACGTAAATAAAATGAAAAAAAAAAAAAAAAAGCTGCATGATCATATCAATAGATGCCAAAAAAGCCTTCGACAAAATCCAGCATCCATTTCTGATAAAAACGCTCAGCAATGTGGGAATAGAGGGATCATATCTAGACATAATAAAGGCCATATATGAAAGACCTTCAGCCAACATCATACTCAATGGGCAAAAACTAAAAGCATTTCCCTTAAGAACAGGAACAAGCAGCCCAAGTGTCCATCAGTAGATGAATGAATAAAAAAGCTGTGGTACATATACACAATGAAGTACTACGCAGCTGTAAGTAAGAAAGATCTCTTATCCTTTGAGACTACATGGAGGGACCTGGAAAGTATCATCCTCAGTGAAACAAGCCAAATAGAGAAAGACAAGTTTCATATGATCTCACTTATTTGTGGAATATAATGAACATAACAGTCTGAGGAAGGGGGTAGTCCCAGAAGCGTGGAAGTGGGATACAGACTGACAATCCCCTAAATAGGGGGGCGGGAAGAGATAAACCACAGAACTTATATGCATGTATGCATGAACAGTGGACATGGACAACAAACTGGGGAAAGGGCAGGAAGGGAGGAGGAGGGGGGAATCAGTGGGGGGGAAAGGAGAAACATCTGTAACAAAAATTAATTAATAAAAATAAATAAATAAATAAAATTAAAATTAAAAAAGAACAGGAACAAGGCAAGGATGCCCACTTTCGCCACTCCTATTTAACATAGTACTTGAAGTCTTAGACACAGCAATGAGACATCAGGAAAAAATAAACGTGATCCAAATTGGAAAGGAGGAAGTGACACTGTCATTATTTGCACAGGACATGATACTATACATAGAAAACCCCAAAGACTCCATCAAAAGTTTACTAGACTTAATAAATGAATTTGGCAAAGTAG